AATTGAAAATAAATTAAGCGTTATAAATATTTTATCAAAAATTAATGCAATTTTTTTTCCATACAAGGCTAAAACATCTTTGCATATTAGCAGACAACTGTGGTTAAAGCAACTATCTCGGTAACCATCTCGGTAACTATCTCTATGCCATAATTTTGCTATGCACATGAGAACATGAGGAAAGTAAGAAATTTATGGATCGTCATGAATGGCAAACCAACATGTCTGGAGCTGACAAATGATGGAGTAGATTAAACGTTCCTTATGTAATGTCTCTATAATGAAAAATAAGTGTTATAAAACTAATATGATTTTTATAATGCCACCAAAAAAGAATCACACAATAGTCTGGAAAATCGATACATTGATTTTTATTACTATAAATAAATGGATAAGTTCTTGGAGTTGGTTTTACGGTGAGTAATAAGTGCATACACTCATTGGCCGCTACTTAGTTTTCAAACTTTCCAATTTCAATGCTTTTTTTTTTTGCTTTTGATTAGGTTTACTATACCTTCTTTGCATTCAATATAACATTCTACTTTTCATAAGAAATAAAATTTCAAAGAATCACCACTTCCACTCTAATAACCTGTCAAAAGACTATGATTTCAACATTAAAAGTAATTATTCTTATAACATACACAAAAATTTAATCACAACTCAATCCTTCATAATCCGAAATATTATAAACCACCCGAATATGGGATCAAATTTTTGTTAAAGGAAATAACATGAAGACCTTCCAAAACCTTCACAACATATCAACCACAACTCTTTAATTAAGAACAAATATTTAGTTTTAAATATATCTTATCACATATGATTTCTCTATACTTAAAACTTTTTAGAAGACAAAAAACATTATCATACACATCTTTTGTAAATACAAACCTAAAATACAAATCCAAAATCATACAAAAATAATAATATAGATAATAAGTAAAGTATATCCCGCCCTATCCTAGTATTTTATAAACGAGGACAAATACTAAACATGGCTGCGTGCGAGGAGAAACGTGCGTGCCATGCACTGATACCTACAAGGGCATATTCGGGAATATAAGAAGACCGTGCAACAAGTCTTGACCTCTCTCAGCTTCTGTTGATGTAATGTTTTTGGTTTGTCGATGGCGCAAAAACTCGGCATTGGTTCTGACGGCAAAATCAGACAAGAAATGGTTTCAGAGTCTTCACCTTTCGATGACTTACCGGAGGATTGCGTCGCTTACATAATCTCTCTTACAACTCCACGGGACGCATGCGTTGCAGCTTCAGTTTCCAAAACCTTCAAGTCAACGACCGAGTCCAATAGCGTGTGGGAGAAGTTTCTTCCACCAGAGTACTCATCTCTTATTCTTGGATTGCACGTTTCCACGTTAAAGAAGGAGCTCTATTTCTCTTTGTGCAACAACCCTGTTCTAATCGAAGATGGACAAAAGGTATATATATCTAGTTTTACGATTAATTAATCTTGCCATCGAATACTTTTGGTTATATAATTTACTTTATTTATAAATAAAAAAAAACAAAGAGCTTCTGGTTAGAGAAAGCTAGTGGGAAGAGGTGTATCATGTTATCTGCGAGGCAACTCGCAATCACATGGGGAAACTCTCCTCAGTATTGGCAATGGATCTCAATTCCAGAAGCTAGGTATAATCCTTTTTCTTGTTTAAAATGGATCACACAAGGCATGCTTATGATTAGCATTATTATGATAATGGTCAAAAATGTTGAAGGTTTCAAGAAGTACCAGAGCTTCTTGATGTATGTGCTTTCGAGATCCGTGGTTGGATGAACACTAGAATCCTATCTCCAAGAACTCATTACTCAGCTTACGTACTATACAAGACAAGATGTGGATGTCATGGCTTTCGTGATTTGCCCATACAAGTTGGAATATGTTTCGTGGGACAAAAAGCTACTAAAAGATTCATATGCTTTGATGAATCTGCGGATAAGATTAAAAGGTGGGGAAGGAGGGAGCTAATGAAATCAAAGGAGAGACAAGATGGATGGATAGAAGCAGAGATTGGTGATTTTTTCAATGAATTGGGTTGTGACGAAATTGAACTGAGTATTGTAGACATTACGTCTCCTTATTGGAAGCGTGGCTTGGTCATTCAAGGAATTGAGTTCCGGCCTGTGAAAAAGTGAGAAACCGGTTTACTATAGTGAAAGAACGATTTCCCGGTTATATTTTTGTATTTTATATTTCATGGAAACAAACATCTTGTAGCATGAAATAATAAATTTGTTGCAAAATCTGAATTTAAGGTTCTTAGTTTAGTATCTATCATTCTCAAATCACACGATGGGATTCTCGAAAAATAGTGTTTGAATCTATGATCATCTTATATTCTCACCTGAGTTGACTTTGTTATTTAGAACATTTCCGACACCAAGACCAATTAAACAGCGAGGAAACAAAACGTGCACATTAAACAAAGAAAGGTATTTTCATAATTACGAAGGGATGACTCTACGCGCAGAGACTACTGTAAAGTCTTTTTTTATATAAGTTAAAATAATAAGCAATTGCTACTTCCAAGTCTCAAGACTCTTAACCTTTAAACCTTATAAGAACGTACATATGATAAAGAAAAGAGCCCAGCGATGGGGCAAAGGCACGGTGTTCATTCTAGAGGAAAAGTCAAAGGAGTTTCATGTTTATCTTAGACAGAGAAGTTTACTGTTGGGGGTGTATAGGCAAAAGACACGGCGTTGATCCTAGACACAAAGGCAAAGGAGTTTCAGGTTTCTCGGTCGGGCCAAAACACGGTAATGATTCTAGGGTCGTCGAATGCGGGGAAGAGATGGTCTTTAGGGTGTCGCCTTTCGAGGGCTTGCCAGAGGAATGCATCTCTAAAATAATCTCTTTAACAAGTCCACGGGACGCTTGTGTCGCTGCTTTGGTTTCGAAAACAATCAAATCTGCGGTTGACTCTGATGCTACGTGGGAGACGTTTCTGCCGCCTGAGTATGCATCTCTGCTTCCTGGATCGAGAGTTTTCTCGTCTAAGAAGGAGCTTTATTTTCTTCTTTGCGATCATTTTCTAATCGAAGATGGCAAAAAGGTATATCCATTCAAATTTATCTATGCGATTTGAGAATAGTTGTAAGGTCTATAGACTTTCCATTCAAAATCATTTAATATTGAGTAGATATATATATTTGGTTCTTGTCATATACTACTCTGACGCTCATCTTATAAATGATGTTACGACTCCTAAAGACAATTATATGTCTCGTATTTTAATTGCCATTTATTTGTACAGAATCATCGAGTTACGTCAGAGAAGGATGTTCAATCTTCCTCTCCTTTTTTTTTTTTTTTTTGCTAGTTTGAAGCAAAAGAAAATTTTGTGTTAAATATTGTGAAGTTCTTAATTATTTTATTTTCTTCAACCAAATTTATAGAGTTTCTGGTTAGAGAAAGCAACTGGGAAGAAGTGTATCATGTTATCCGCATTGGACCTTCCAGTTACATATGAAGAAGATGACTCAACTGATCCTGAGTACTGGAAATGGTATCCAATACCTGAATCTAGGTACATGTTTTTTTGTTGTCTTCCTGTTAATTCATTTGGTTGATGACTTGATTCAGTTTATCAGTCGGGTAAAAAGCTGCCTCTGTTGTGCAGATTTGAAAGAGTGGGAGAGATAGTAACCACGTTCGATATTTATGGCAGTTTGGACTCTAGTATCCTATCTCCAGGAACCATTTACTCGGCTTTCGTTGTGTTCAAGAAACTGGATCATTTTTCTGGATTTGAGGATAGCCTTATAGAAGCGTTCATTATGTTCGGAATGTCTGCCTCTAGAAGAATAGTATGCTTTGATCCCGCTATGGATGAGGGGTTTGAAGGATATAATGGAAGGCTGAAACCTAAGCAGAGAAAAGATGGGTGGATGGAGCTAGAGCTTGGGGATTTCGTTAACGAAGGAGGCTTAGTGGCCAGTGACATAATTAATGTTACTGCTTCGCAATATAAGTCAAACCGTTGGATGGAGGGCTTGATTGTTGAAGGCATTGAAATCCGTCCTACGGAAAACCAGCAAAGATTTTTCGAGCTAGAAAATTAATCTAATGTCAAAGAGGGAGTGTAATTTTGTGTGTGTTTGTTTACAACATTTTTGAAAAATGGAACCAATATTTGTTGATAGTAATAGATTTGCGTGTTTGGTTTTCTTCGTTGAATTCGATTGATATTATGGACTTTTTCAATGATATTTCACGCAGTGTGTTGTGAAAGGCTAGACGTGCCAGTGCATCTTGTTCAGAGTTCATTTAAGATCCATGGTGTGATGATGAATCTATGTGTCATATATATCTCCAAGAACTAGTTATGTTGTATACATGACAAGAGGCCCCTTATATCCAGAGTTTTCTTTAAAATATCAAAAGAATAATCTTCAGTTCCCAATGAACAAATATCAATAAATAGTTTTTTATCATCCACAATTTTTTTGTATAGCATTGTAACGGTGATTCATTTTTGTATTACTCGGCTTCGTAGTGTACAAGATAAGAGATCCCTTTCATGGCTTCCAAAACTTTCAAGTTGGATTGATTGAGCATGGAATTTCTGAAGCCACAAGTTGGGAAAAGACTTAACTGAGCAAGCAATATGAGGCATGATTGATGTTTAATTTACCGGGAGATTGTCATACTTTGGTTAAAAAGTATTTCAGCAAAAAAAAAACTACATTTTGTTATTAGGCTTTATTTAGTAAGGTTTAAAGGTTTTTGTTTAAGACTATTTTACTAATTCCTAGAATGTATATCAGTGATTTTGCTGTAAAATAAGAATAATTACGTACCGGCGACTTTAGAAAAAGACATTTTCAAATGGTCGTGAGGCAGATGCTCTCGCTGATTTAAAGAAGGGGTACTTTGGTACATAAGCCAGAGACTTAAAGTTAAGACTTAGTTAGGAGTGCTCAAAGTCAGAAAAACAATTCTCAAACTTGATCCAGATCTTGACACAAACACTGGAGAAAAGTCTACTTTATGATGCATTTCCAGAGGAATGTAACATTCGTTACCTTTTGGGTCGCCGCTTTTTTGGTTTCCATAACCTTCGGATCGGCGCTGGCGGTCAATTCTGGTAGCGTAAGGAGGAAGTTTCTTCCGCAGGAGTATTCAATCTTCTCATCCAAAGAGTCTGCTCGATGCAACGACTATGTTCTAATAGAAGATGGCAAAATGGTATACCTGATTATGTTTGATTATTTTGAGTTTTTAAGTTTGTGCTACCATTATAGATTTCTTGTTAAGGAAGTTTCTATTTTTGGAAAACATAGAGTTTATGTTTAGACAAAGCCAGAGGGACGAGGACTATAATGTTATCTGGCAAGGAACTTGATCTCACATTCGACACCTTTTGGCAATTCATCTCAGATCCTGATTCGAGGTAACTCCTTTTTCTTTGAGTTCTACAGCTTTGTGTTAGGAATAAAAGTATCTCATAAATCACAAGATGATGGTCTAGTGGTAAGCGGACTTTGAGATTTACTAAGCAATCTAGGTTCGAAGGCACCCCACTACATTTTATCTTGTGGCCACGTGGATATGAGCCTATCCTACGGTCCATTTGAATACTCGGAGTGAAGGTCCATCCATGGACTGCACCACCTTTTTGGAGATTAGTCTGGCCTCTCCATGGGTTTGGGATATCCCAAAATTAAACAAAAAATAAATAAATAAATAAATCTCATAATGGTAAACTCCATTGGTCAAAGGGCAATGATTAGGCGCATTTATTTTGAACACAAATTATTTTGACACTTTTTACTCAAATTAAAAGAAAAACTTAAGTTAATTTGTGCTCGAATAATTACATTTATTTAGCTAATAATCTTGGAGATAATTACATACATTTATTGGATCAACGTATTAATTTATACAATCAGTAATAAAGTTTAAGTAATTATAATTTTTAAAACTTCTATTATAATTTTAGTATGACAATTTTGTGTAATAAAAAAGTGTTAAATTGTTACAAAAAATAAAATAAAAAAGTGTTAACAGACACCTTTTATCAAACGTATATAAGGGACAAGGGATCACAAATCAATTCATTATCAATTAGTCTTGAATTAAAAACTCATGAAAACTTTAACTCGGTCTGATAATGTTGAATGCAATGTGTTATAAAGGTTTGAAAAAGTCCCACGACTTTTCAAATTGTGTCCTTTCAAGATCTACGGTTTGCTGAAGGCTAAATTCCTCTCTCCTGATACTCGTTACTCGGCTTACATAGTCTACAAGGCAAAGGATCAAATTCCAGATGTCCAAAAAAGCTTTGGAGTTGGAGTGATTCTACATGAAACTCTGGAAGGAAAGAAGTTTGAAAGGCTGCAGCTAACGAAGATAGAGAAGAGGGCCGATGGGTGGGTGGAGGCAAAGTTTGGAGAATTCTTAAACGATGGAGGGTTCATGGATGATCACAATGAAATTTGGTTTTCTATTGATGAAATCAAGTACAGCTATTGGACGCCTGGGTTGATCATTCAAGGCATTGAGTTCCGGCCTGTGAAAAAGGTCTGGTGAAGTAAGATTCACACCATGGACAAGTGTACGGTTTGAGCTAGTGTTATGTGTTTATGTATCAAACCAAAACATATTGTAACAGAAATTTAATGGTTGTTTGAATTGTGATTATTTAATGTTTTTGATTTTTCTTTCTTTTGATGTTTTTGTCACTCTAACATATATGTACCAGTTCAATATGAGTGTGTGTGTGTGTTTTTTAACAATTCAGGTATTCCGGATTTTAAGTCCAGACAGTTCTGGATAAAGTGTCTCGCTCGTTGGATACATACCCTCTATCATGTCAAACATCCCTTCTTATGTGTAAAGTTTCTAGGGTAAAAAGTGTATTATTTGAATCAGCTACACACATAATTTCGTAGACATTAATTATGTGTTTCGATAATGTGTGGAAACATTTATTAGATCATGGGCTTACAACTACAGTTAGTAATGAATGAACTGAAAACGTGTAGCGTGAAGGAGAGAGAGAGAGAGAGATTCGCACACGGCAAGAAGGGAAGCTTCGTAAACATGTAGACACGGGTACCACGAGTCTTTTGTGTTTTCATTATAAATCATTCTTTGTTTCACCGTTTCATCACAGAAGCGACTTTAGAACGAGTCTTACAGATCTCACGAAGTCTATTTTTTATTACCAAAAAAAAGTCTTAAGGGCTATCTGTCTCTCAAGATTCCAGACGCTAGAGATTTGATGCAGGCAACGATGCTGTCACCGTTTGATTCATTGCCGGTGGATTGCATCTCAAGCATTATCTCCTTCACGAGTCCACGAGACGCTTGCGTCGCCGCTTCTGTTTCGAAAACGTTTGAATCTGCGGTTAAGTCCGATACCGTGTGGGAGAAGTTTCTTCCGTCAGAATATTCCTCTCTGATTCCACAGTACTCGCGAGTTTTCTTGTCCAAGAAGGAGCTCTATTTCGCTCTCTGCGATGATCCTGTTCTGATCGAGGACGGCCAAAAGGTATAATATTAACTGAGAATAATATGTGTATCAGAATCGTTGACTTTTTTTTTTGAACTTTTAAACTGAATCCAAAGTTACATTGTTGTCAATAATAAAAAATTTACCACCAATACAGTACTTTAGAAAACAAATTTCTTTTTTTGGACAAACAATGATTTAGAAAAATTATAAACGAAAATATACGCAATTACACGTTGCTTGTTTCCTTAAATATGATGTAGACGTGAAAAAATAATCATATTTGGTATGTGTGTTTATCCGTCATCATTCTTAGTATGTTAGAGAATTATGTGAACAAAGGATGTGATTAAACTAGGTGGATATAGTTTGGTCTACTGGTGCTATATTTTGGTGTAACAGAACAAATAATCATATTTAGCTTTTGGTGTAATTTATACAATTGTTGTTATATTTTGGTGTAACAGAACAAATAATCATATTTGTTATGTGTTTTTATCCGTCATCATTTAATTTGGTGTGGTTTCTGAATGTTTCAATTGTTTTTTCTTTTCTCCCAAAAATGATAGAGCTTCTGGTTAGAGAAAGCGAGTGGGAAAAGATGTATCATGTTATCTTTGAAGGGAGGGTCGATCACATGGGGAACTAGTCCCCAATATTGGCGATGGGTTTCAGTTCCTGGATCTAGGTACGTTACTCCTTTTGTTCTTGTTACAATTCGCTTGTACACATTTTTCAATGATAATTAATGACTAATGAAGATGGGAAAACAAATTGTTGCAATGCAGGTTTGATAAAATAGCAGAGCTACTCAATGTATGTTGGTTTGAGATTGGTGACGGGATGCATACTCGTTACCTATCTCCTAGAACTCATTACTCGGTTTACATCGTGTTCAAGACAAAGAAAGGATGTCCTAATTTGGGAGATTCCCCGGTAGATGCTGAAGTTGGGTTGGTTGGAAAAGAATCTTCTCAAAAGTTAATATATTTTATTGGGCCTCCTGGTCGTGGTCGTGGTCCTGGTCGAAGGACAGAGACAGAAACGAGAAATGTAACGAGACCAGAGGCAAGGGAAGATGGGTGGATGGAAGCCGAGCTTGGTGAGTTCTACAATGATTCTTGTTGTGATGATATTTCGTTTAGTGTTATTAAGACCAACACTCCTCACTGGAAAAGTGGTTTGATCATTCAAGGAATTGAATTTCGCCCTGTGAAAACAAGGTAAATTGTAAGAGCATGATTATTGGGAGATTCTTGCTCTTGGGTTCTTAAAATATATATATGTATATATATATATTGTATATACGTATATAATTGTGGGGTTCTTAGCTTTATGAGAAACTCCACCAAAAATTTCTTAAATAAGAAACTTTCGGTTAAATTTTCCATAAAGCTAAGAACCGCACAAATATATACGTATATACAATGTATGCATACACATATATATATTTTAAGAACCCAAGAATAAGAACTCCCCAATAATCATGCTCTATATCATGTTTTTTGTGATGGATAGACCGATGTCTGGTTCAGTGATCTTCCAGTTTATGCTTGTTCAGTCTCATGTCTAAGCAAGTGAAAAGATTTGCTGTGTTGTAATGTTGTTGAATCTTCAGTTTTTCTGGACTGTAATGTTTGTAAGTTTGATTTGATCATATTCTCACAAAAACAAAACTTCAATAAAGAAATTATGTTTCCTCTAATGATTTACAGTTGTTTTTTTTGTATAGCATTGTAATGGTGCTTCATGTTTAAGTAAAAAAGAGTCTAATAGTATCTAATCTATTAACATTGAAATTACAAACTTGATTAATGTGTGATTTTTTTAAAAATGGCCTTACTTAGAAAATTACATTTCATTTATTTTTCATTAACATGTTGGCCTCATTAAAATATCAAATCATATTAATCAATACATATAACAACTTCACATACAAAACTGTTTTAATTTTATTTCTAACTATATAAATTTTGAAAAAAATATAACAAAATCTTACAATTTTTTTTTAAATATTTTCATATAATAATGCAAATTAATCTCGTAATTAGTGGTAGAATTTTATTCAAATAAATTTTAATTAAAAGTTTATTATAAAATAAATTATGTTATTTACATAATTATATAACTATTTATTAAAAATTTGTATTAAATTAATAAATTAAACTTTTTAAAAAGTTCATTAGAAATACGATTCACCATTAGAAGGGGTTTAACGTAAATCCCGTATAAAACTTACTAAAATAATAAGTCTAAATTATTTGAATATAATAATATATTTATTTATAAAATTCAGTATACTAAAATTATATATTCTAAATTATATATTTTAAACACAACCATGAGTATCAATGATCCTAAATAAGTATCTATTCTATTGTATAACTAAATAAATTTCAAAAATATTTTGCATGCCAACTGTAGAAATCAAAATATATAATTTAAAGGGGCTTATCTATTTGATTATTTTAAATTATTAATTTATTGTACCAAATTTGAAATTATATTATTATGTAATAAAAGCTTATAACAAGTTAAAATGTATAAAAATATTAATATATTAATAATGTCAAATAAATAGAACAAAAAAATATAGTACTATATTATATATATCATTAAAATGAAAATCATATATTTAAAATGTTTATGGTTATATCAAAGTTATACATTTATATTATAGGGAGAAAAAAATATTCGACAATAAAAAAGAAAGATTAAAGTCTATGTTAGATTCAGAAACGTATATATGTATTTTTCCAAAAAAAAAAAAAATAAGTTCCTATAATTTTGAATTTTAAAAACAAGATAATTGAACTACTAATTAGTAATTATCCATTTGATATTGACATAAAATATTAACTCATTTAAAAGATGTATATTGTTTTAATTGATAAAAAGAATTCTATATTATTTAATCCCAATTGAAATTTATATATGTTTGAATTATATTACATAAAAAATTATGCTCCAATAATATACCTTCAAATATAACATATTAAAAAATTGTATTTAATATTTAATCGCTTATTTTATCATTTATTTAAATATCTAATACTAAATACTTAAATATTAGTGTATATGAATATTTTAAATTGTCATAAAATTAAAAAAAATTACTAAACAATAATTATTTTCTTACTACTATTTATAAATTAAATTGAAATTAGATCCATTTATTAGTTTTAATAATAGACAAGAAAATATAAAATAAGTTCAAAATTTTGGAACTTTGCATATATTTGTTTGTCAAATAACTAAAAAAAAATCAACAAAATATATATAAAAGAAGTAACAAATACATGTGAGTTTGAAATAATTAATTAAGTAAAACAAACAAACTATAAAATTTAGGTATTTGCAAGTGATATAAACAATTAAATATATATACACAAAAATGAAAACAAACACCCGCATGGTTATGTGGGTTAAGCTCTAGTTAACACTATTAAAACAAAATCAATTTTTATCTACTAACAAATAATCTAGGTTGGATCATTTCATCTGTTTAATTTTTATTATTTTGCATATAGCAAACTTAGTTATTATTAAATATACACATAATCATAATATATTATTTATATATTTTCAAAATAATATATATGCTAAGTATATTTTCTAATATGGCGTTTTAACAATATTTTTAATATATTTTTATTTGAAATTTTAATATTAACTAGAAATGAATATTAATTCACTTTGATTTATAGAATAATAAATAAAAATTCCTATAATTTTTGTATATATATATATACATAATTAAAATTCATAATTAAATTATTACAGTAAATGATATATAGCATAACTTAATCTATTTACTATCTCTTTTATAAATTAAATTATAACTTAAAAATTACATAGACACAAAAATATATATTCAGACAGTTTACAATATATATCAATTTATTTATACAAAATATGAAAATAATATAATTAAAATAATAAATAATTTTATATTTAAATAAATAAATTATGTTTCCTCAAATGACTTACAGTTTTTTGTTTAGCATTGTATTGTGCTTCATGTTTAGGTAAAAAAGATTCTAATAGTATCAATACTATTAAAACAAAAGCAGGTTTTAATTATTTAAAAATAGTTTAATTTGGACCATTTCATTTAACATACAACAAACTTAGTTACTATTAAATATACACACAAGCTTAACATTTTACTTAAATATTTTCAAAATAAAAAAATCAAAGGATATTATTAAGTATCTTTTCTAATATTTCATTTTAATAATATATTTTTATTTAAAATTTAGATATTTATTGTTTTAATATTTATTTTAAATAATGAAACTGGGTAATTATTTTTAAACTTTATTACAAATGAATATTAATTCAGTTTGAATTATAGAATAATAAATAAAATTTCTATAATATTTATAGACATAATTCATATTTATAATTAAATTATTACAGTAAATAATATATATATAAAATAACATAATCTATTTACTAACTGTTTATAAATTATAAAATAAAAGAATTACATATACATAATAACATATATTCATACAGTCTACATACAGTCTATGTGTTTATGTGCATGTATAGTACGTATGAACATAAAGTAAAGAACACATAGAGATTTGTTAACGAGGTTCGTTTCCTACATCCCCGGGACCACGTCCAGAAACCATTCACTAGAAAAGGTCGTAACCTACAATTGCTATATGGTATTTAGCACACACTTGTGCCTACTACTCTTATCTAGATTACAATGGTTAGAGCAACTACTACTCATTGATTTTATAAAGAGCATAGTTCTCTATAACTTAACCACCAATAGATCTCACCATCTGTCTGGTGGGACGACGCCACACACCTGTGTGACTCTCTCAAGAATATCTTGGGCACATACCTTTTTCTTTGACGGCCTCCTGGTATTTATCTGATTGCTAAACCCTAAACTTAGGGTTTCCACACAATCTTTTTTTTTCTTCTCTTAAAAATAAAGAAGTTCTTCCTCATCTTAAATATACTATTTAAGATGTTTACTTAATTCAGCAGCCACGTCCACTTATATATATCTGTAGTCGCCTCACAGCTTTGGTTCTTGAATGACTTCTTGTACCACTTCCTGTACTACTTCAGGATAAGCACATGAAACACTACAGACATATGCAACATCTTAAAGACATGTTTCAGTACTTTCTCAGACCAGTCAGCATTATATTTTCAATCTCTCTATTGATGACTACATTTTAGAAACCAAGCACCTTCTCAAACTATTCAACACAAGACTAACGATCTCTTCCTTGGTGACTGAGTTTTAGAATCCAAGCACACACTCTAAATGATCCTCGTTACATCAAAAGATCAATCTTCTTCATTTTCTCCACTTTTTAGCTTAGTTTGATGCTCAAGCAATTTTTTTATTCTTCAGAAAAGCTCTCCCATGGTTGAGCTCCTTTTGCACTAAAATACAAGTTCTTACCTCATGTTCTTGATCTAGCAACATCAATCTCCAGTAGATTACCACAAGAATAACAATTCCTCTCCCTGCTTGAGTTCATAACTAAGTTAATACCAACCTCCACATCACGTTTTAACTTCTGGTGTAGGCTGTGGCAGATCCAGTGATATAGTCTCTGCTCCTCTCCCCGAAAATAAGTTATGTCTTCTCAAGCCATTCCAAGACGGTCTCGATATTTTGATCCAAGCAAATCAGACTTGTTTTCAAAACAAAAAACAAACTCCCCCATGAGTTTAGCTCCATGGCATCTCTCACAGTGTTGTCGTCATCTTCCCACTTGAGCACACAATAAGTTAAAAGCCAACCAAGCAAACAATACTCTGCTGCTAGAAGATTTATCTTCTCTGTCTTTTACTGCTCATAATTTTCTTCTTCCAAAGCTATGTCTCGGAAAAAAACTATTAATCACCCTCTGACGTTGACACAAGTGTTGATAAGAACTCGAAACTGTTTTCAAGAGTTGATCTTCTGCATTATAATTGATGATCCTCTGTTCAAAGCCTGCAGTAGCCAAGTTTCATAACCATTGCTTCAATTCTTTATCTCTGAAATTCAGAAGCTCGTAGAGTTGATTTTCCAGACCACAAATCATAGAGAGCAACACAAATATTGAGTACGATCAACATTCTTTGTAGCCTCCATATTTGAAATCCTTGCCAAAAGTTTTTATATTCTGGTACAGTTGTTGATGCAAGAATTGTTCCATTAGGTTCCCCGAACAAAGTATCTACTGTACTCTCAAGACTTC